TTTTGCTGATAAATCTGTTATAATAGGACTGAAGAGGGGCATTAAGCCCAAAATGCATATTCTTTCCTATCAATAAACCGACCTTTTTCCACTAAAAGAGTTCCTGTGTGATTTGTTCTCAATGGCAACCTTATGCTAAGAAAATACACATAGTAAAGAGAACAGCAAGCAACCAAGACATGTATTACTCAGTTAGAACTACTGAGTAATGAATAGTTTTTTAATTAAAATCTTTTCTTTGCAAGTTTCTGAACAAATATACAATTTGTTAAGAGGATGATTAAAATTTTTAATTACCAATGAATATTTTTTTCATTGGTAATTGGAAAGCCCCAGGATCAAGAGGAATCAAAGTTAGAAATCAAATAGATTTTATTATGATTAATCATAGATACAGGAACACAATTACAAATATAAAAACATATTCAGGGGTGGATTGTGGCAGTGACTACAATCTCTTGCTCTCTGTGATTTGGGTTAAATTGAAGCGCACAAAAAGAAATAGAAATGAAAAAAGACTGAGAATTGGTGATTTGAAGATAAACAGCATTAGAGAAAAATATGAGAGTATGACTAATAATAGACTTCGAAATTTAAATTTGGAAGGAAGTGTGGAAGAACTTTGGGAGAATATGAAGGGGAAAATTAGAGACAGTGCTTACCAGGTTCTAGGAGAGGAGAGAAGAAAAGCAAGGAGACCTTGGATTACTAAAGAAGTGTTGGAGAAAATGGATGAAAGGAGAAAATGGAAAAGTGCAAATACACTAGATGCTAAAGAAAAATATAGAACAATCGATAAACAAGTGAAAAGTATGGCAAGAAAAGCTAAGGAAGACTGGCTAGATAGAATCTGCTGTGAATTAGAAGAGCATGAATCGTCACAAGATCTGAGAAAGGTCTATCAAAACATTGATTTAATCTCAGGAAAGAAAAGAAGAGTGAAAATTGGGGCAATAAAGGATGAGAATGAAGAAGTTTTAATGCAGAAGGAAAGGCAATTAGTAAGATGGAATGAATATTTGACAAAAGTTTATAAAACAGAGGATAACATGGAATGTCAACTAGAGGAGGAATACGATGATGATGAAACCCCTAAATTTCTGGAGGATGAAGTTGAGGTAGCCTTGAAAAAATTGAAGAATGGGAAGGCACCTGGAATTGATGGCTTACAAGGGAAATTGCTTAAATCAATGGGTTCTGAGGGAAGAAGGATTATGAGTCATGTTCTTAATAAAATTCTTGCAGGAGAACAACTACCCACAGACTTCACTAATTTAATATTTATACCTATACCCAAAATAACAGGAACACTGGAATGCGACAAACAGAATAATAAGTTTAATAAGCCATATCTCAAAAGTTTTAACTAATACTATCTATAGTAGAATAGAACTGAAAATTGAAGCAGAACTAAATGATACACAATCTGGATTTAGAAAGAACAAAGGAACTAGAGAGGCCATTACATTAATTAGACTTATTGGTGAAAAAATGATTGAAAAAAATAGGGATCTTTATCTATGTTTTGTGGACTATGAAAAGGCATTTGACAATGTTAATCACACAGTTTTATTTGAAATACTTCAAAAAATTGGAATAGATAAAAAGATAATTAAAATTATTCTTGCTTTATACAAAAATCAGAAAGCAATAATAAAAATTGATGATGAAGAATCCAACTGGATAAGGGGGGAAAAAGGAGTGAGACAGGAATGCAGACTTTCGCCACTGCTATTTAATATTTACAGTGAGTGGATGATGCGAGAAGCACTTGTAACGAAGGAGTGAAAATCAATGGATGCTTGATAAATAACATAAGATATGCTGACGACATGGTCCTGCTGAGTGAAAGCAGGCCCGCCGTAAGCGGGCGTGCAAGGCGTGCACCGCACGCGGGTGGCACATCCAGGGGGCGGCAAATCGAGCGATTGGTCACGTAATATTGAAAGTCATTGTCATAATACCCACCCTACTTATAGCATAAGAAATGTCTTCGCATGGAGAAAAAACTCCGACCGGCACGCAATTACTATATTCTTATTTATATTATAGCGTTAACAGCGCCTCTATTGGCATTTATCAGAATTAAGATGCAATGCGAAACGTCTGTCGGCAGGTTGAGCCACCCGGCAGTGCCCGAAAGCCAAGTACCCATAGTCGTGCTCTATGACAGAAGTTGACAGGACTGGCAAAAATAGGGAATCCCCACAGAGCTTCCTTCTCAGTTTGTGCTTGTACGCATTCGAACAGTTCTATCGCATATCAAATTGCAATTATTTTTTTAATAATTCTTCTGACATGGGTCTAAGTATAATTAATGATATTTTAACTTGGTTAGGATTTAAATCTGAAGCTTAAAGACGATTCAAGTAGTGAAACAGACATTGACGGTATTGATTTGTTTAATGAAATCAATACTTTAAAGTTGCATTTTCCAGAAAATGAGTCTAATGATCCACAAACCCTATTACAATATCTTTTTACTAATGACTTAATTAATTTCAACATTTCTGAACACAGCAATAGCACTAATGTGAGGCTCCGGAAGTGGGTTGAAATTCGTGCACGGAAAATATTTTAATTTCGTATGAAAAAATTTTTATAATTATGAATCTTATTGTAAAAAGAAACCGTCAAACGCAAAATGAATATTTTATGTCCATATAAGGACATATCTGTAAAAACTTCTAAGAAAGTCGAACTACTCAGGTTAAAACAATGGATGAATTTGAGTACTTAGATCGAACGTCTTCGATAGGAATCAAATTGTCAATTGGAGTTTACTCACCCCGCGATCTGGGCTCTGATCCCGTTACAATTCGTAACAAGGAGGGGGACCAATTGGAGAACGGGGGAAAGTCGACATCGACCTATCGGAATGTTCGATCTGGGACTCAGAAAAAACTTATAAAAACCGCGCAAAAAAAAAAGGATGTGACGTTCTTGGTTCATAGTTCTTGGCCTTTGGTTTGCAGTGCTCCTCTCCAGGATTCTTGTCATCCGGACATTCTCCCACGAGAACTTGTCAGATATTCGGAGGACTTGTCTCCACCCTCCCATGCCATCAAGATCGCTAAAGTCTACCTTGTAGATAGAAGACCTCGGTTCAAATAGTGTTGTGCAGCCCGGAGGCGACGTCTTCACGCCTCCATCGCCGGAAGAAAAACTATTGTCAGAACAGTTGAACTTTTAGTGTTATGAACTTGTTGCTGAATTTTGGATAGGTGTTACGCCGTTTTAAGGATTTGTTGTAAGAAAAATTTTTATATTTATTAAACGGTATACGATGGAGAACCTGTCTCAGTAAGTTTTTTCACTCCCACACGACAGTGCTGACCGCTCGACTGTCGTGACACTTTCTCCCCAATCGGCAAACCTCGCACTAAGAATATTACTTACATTGCCAGTTACAGTTGCATTTGGTGAAAGGTCCTTTTCAAAGTTAAAAATTATAGAAAAACTATTTAAGGTCAACAATGCACCAGCAAAGACTAAGTAATTTAGCTGTAGTTTCAATTGAATATGAAATCTTAGACAGCTTGGATACAAGGAAATTGATATCAGATTTCGCAAACATAAAGGCAAGAAGAGTTCAATTTCTGTAGATAAATATTTATATAGTTTTACACTTAAGTAAACAAAAATAACTTAGTAATAATAAATAGTTTTTCTTTGTAAAGTATTTATTTTCTTTTTTCACACCCTTATGAGACAACACTAAAGAGCTTGCCTTTCTGGCAAGCTCAGTGTAGGTAGTCGTAGTTAAACAGGGGGCGGCATAATCGGTATTGCACATGGGCGTTCAAACAGCTAGTGGTGCCCCTGAGTGAAAGTAAAGAGGGATTACAGAAAATTCTGAATCGACTGTTCAAAACTGGATTGGAGAAATTCCATAAGAAAATAAATGAACAGAAGACAAAAGTAATGAAGGTTTCAAAGAGTGAAGATATGGATGAATTCCGGATCATCCTGGGAAATAAGGAACTTGAAGGGGTTAAAAAGTTTGAATATCTAGGAAGCTGGATAACGAGTGATAATAGATGTAATACAGAAATTAAAAGCAGAATTAATAAAGCAAAAGTTTCTTTTTATCAGATTAGCCATATATTAACAAACAGAGGCCTTGACATAAAACTGAAAATAAAGATCCTAAGTACAATGATCTGGAGTGTATTAACATACGGATGCAAGGCATGGACTCTCGCACGTGAAATGATGGAAAGAATTAACTCTTTTGAAATGTGGTGCCTGAGAAAGATACAAATAATAAGTTGGACGAGAAAATGACAAATGCAGAGGTTTTGGGCAGGCTGAGCTTGAGGAGAGAGTTGCTTATAAATATCCAACAAAGAAAAGTACGATATGCTGGAAATTTGACTAGAGGATCAGGAGGACAACTACTAAAGACGGTGATTGAGGGACTGGTGGAGGGGACAAGACCTAGAGGAAGACCTTGAAAGACTTGGAGAGACAACATTAAGGACTGGACTGGAAAGGATTTAAGAGAAGCCTGGAATAGGGAAACACGGAGAGGAATAGTTCATCAAATGCAACCCTCTGTAGAGAGGAGGCCACTGGATAGATAGATAAATAGATTTTTTTCAGTAGTCTTAATCAATTTCTTAATAAAATCTGAAAGATATTACATGCATTTGTTACAAGATTTTTCATACATTAATGTTATGTATTAAATTAATAAAAAATCTTATTTTAAAAATAGTTTTAATGGAATAATTTGCAGATTACCTGTATTTAAAGATCAGTTTGAGAGCAAGTTTAGATTATTACATGATGCAGGTTATTTACCAATTTTAACTTCCATTATTGATTTATCAAACAATTTTTCTGTTGTTTAAATTTACTTGATCATTATTAAAAAATTGAAAATTTTTGTGTGCTACAGATACTGTATATTCATGTATCATGATTTATTCTTGAAACCATCAACTTTATAAAAATATTAAAATATATTTTAAAAAATTTATACTAATTATTTGTAATTTCATTTCAGGCTGTTTTTGATTGTGTTGTAACATCACTCAAAAATGTCGTCAACATACTCATTGTGTATATATTATTTCAATTCATTTTTGCAGTAATAGCTGTTCAGCTATTTAATGGAAAATTTTTTTATTGCACTGATGAATCAAGATTATTTAAAGAAGATTGTCAGTAAGTTTAACTGTAATTTTTAGAATAAATTTAAAATTAACATAATTACTAAGTTAAGTATGTTGCTATATAAATTAAATTTCAGTGTGCATGCAGGAAAGATATTAATTCTATTTTTCAGTACAATCCTCAGTTGAATTTAAATCAAATTAATTAAAGAAAATCATGTTAGTTGACATTCACATAATATAAATGGCATCCAAGAATTTATGCTTAATAGTGCTTAAGTCAAATTAAATAACAAAAATTTATTGGGCTGCAATTTGAAAAAATTGTAGACCAATAAATTCCCCACTGCTGTTTGTCTATATTTCCTTAATCTATAGAATGGAGTTAGATGAAAGCTGAGATGACATAAGGAAACATTAGGGGCAGGAGACACAATTAACTATATACAGTCATTTGCGACCATCATGACAGTCTACAAATTGTGATCAGTTATTTTCAAATTAGAAACCGCACAATACATATTGTGATAGCTGAATTTAAGTTTGCAAGAACAATTCTATGGTGGCCTATATCTGAATCAGGACCAGTCATTTTAAAATTTCAAGTAATAGACTGTATTAACACACCTTCAATCACCATATATCATCAGACTATAATTTGGTAATAATGATAATTATAAATTACTAAAATATATGGCAATTGAAGGTGTGTTATTACATGTATCATATGTAGATAAGATGTTTATATATATATATAGACTGTATTTGCTGTGAGCTGGATGTTTGTTTGTGGATGGATCATACCTTGGCAGCTTCAACATAGATTAGAATAAGATTTTTTAAATTTAATGCAATAGATAATGATTGTATTTGTTTAATAATTTACTTTTTTTAAGTGAAATATAACATATTAAAATAAGGAATGGCCACTAAGAACTGAGAACAAACTGCCCACTGAGAAAAGGGAGGCATATACAGTGGGTCAGTTCTCCACTGTATATGCCTCTCCTTTTAGTTCACTTATTCATTTTCTTGCATCAGTCATGTTTTAATCAATGTTATTAGACATTTTTACTTGTTTTCTATCAGAGAGTGAATTTTAACTCAATAGAGCTATTATTGGCTAAAATATAGGCAAACTTGTATCTTGAAAATTGACAAGTTCCCAGTAACTTAATTTCTTCAGCTCATAATTACTTTCAAAGAACTATTTAGAAACTGTCAATTTTAGTATGTATTAGTTCTCTACAATGAATAGCAACTGAGTGATTGACTTTTGTATCTGTGTCACTGAATATTATGGACATTAAAACTTTTAATTAATTAATTTTTATTGAGTTATTTTATTATTATTTATTATTATTATTATTATTATTACTTCATTTTTTAATATAATTTAGAATTGTTATTATGAATTATAATAAAACAATGTATGAAAATGAAAGTCTATTTTAATTTAATCTTAACTCTGATGCAATAGAAAGAGAATTGTTTATTGTCAAGAATGATATATTGTTATATATCTTGATTAAATGAAACCTGCCCAGGTAGCATCTGTAACAAAATGAAGGATTAATGTGTGGAGTATAAATGTTGCAGACCTTACTGTTACATTGAATATTTATAAGAAGTCTCCCCAAGCATTGATACACATCTTCCATTATTTGATCATTTTGTATATGCCGTCCACAATAAAAGAACAAAGTTGGTCATTGAACCACTGCCACAAGGCCACCTGCACATCATTAATCTGGATTGTACTCCTTTAAAGCATTCTTTAAGGGAACAAATATATTCAAGTCATAAGGTGAGAGGTCTGGACTGTCAGGATCTGCAAAGCCTTTCAGTGTTTGGCATTCAGTGTATTCTTTATATTTCATGTGGAAAGGAATTATCATGTAATAAAATAGCACTCTCTGATAAGAAATCTAGCTTTATAATTGTGTGGGTATTCCTGAGGTAGATTGAAGTCATACCTCTTTTTGATCAGCAACAGTTTGGTGAAAACTGCCCACTGGTCAGTGGATGGCTTGTCTATGTTTTTCTATCCCATAAAGTCAGGATTCTTTTCTCAGGTAGAGTAGAGGAGGTAAGAGGGGTTGTCGGTGAGACATTGGCAATATTGAAGTAAAAGACACCAATTAACAACAAAACAATAATTTATTGGACAAAACTTAGATAATCTAGCTACATTGAAATTAACTCGAGCATACATGCGGAAGTGGATGGGTGCGCGCTGAGAGAGAGTTTACAATATTCATTATCATACCTCTAGGATTGTGGGTATTGAATGACTTGACAGAGTCTTTTTTTACGGATGGCTTTTTTTTACGACGGATCTCCTTCTTCTGTCATCACCCCTCTTTTATATCTCAAGTCATGTTATTGTTTTTCGCCAATCACAGATTTTTCGATAAGTTCCCAGTGATTCATTTTCATGTTCCTGAGAGATAGGAAACGGCTCCAGGGAAGGAAATGTGTTCATCCATTGTTATAAGATTTTGACAAGATTTCGAAAGAGGGAGAAATAGAGGGTTTCTTTGTTCAAATTGAATAAATATATATATAATTTAATTTGAGCTTCTTTATTTAATTTTATTTTATTCGGTCCGACCCGCAATTGCCTTGTGAAGTTTGTTTAGTGTGGTGAAATACTGTTGATCATTGATGATGATGTCCAGCCTTTAAAATCCAGCAGTAGTGTTCCATTAATATTAGGAAAAAGGGTAAGCATTACCTTTCCTGCTAAGGTCTGCAACTTTAATTTTTGGGACATTATGAACTCAGATGATTCCACTGCTTTCTTTCAGACTTGGGTTTAGATTCACAAACACTGTATCCTAATCTTACTTAATTGTACTGTAATTGAGTACACGAAAATTCAAATTTTTCTTCTTTTCTGACTTACAGAGGCGTAAAACTTTCTGAACTCTAAACCATTTGCTAAATGAAATAGAATTAGAATAAAAAGTAAAAAAAGCAAATCCATTTTACTTTGAGAGAGACTATTCTTTATTACAACTTATTTATCCCCAAATGCATTTTGCCAGTACACTGGCCTCTTCAGTAGGGCTCCAAGCTGCACAATACACTGGCCTCTTCAGTAGGGCTCCAAGCTGCACAATACAATTCAATTTGCCAATCACTTCAACTATCCATTACAATCTTTTACATCGTAGTTACAGTTTTTATATCTGACAAGATTTACCCAGCATTCCGCTGGCACCACACCATTATTTAAATTAACAGAGTTATTTTGTGTAACGATTGCAAAATGTTCTTTAAATTTTCTTTTTACAGTATTTATTTTTTTATACATTACTTTTACTTCATTAACATTAATTTGACAATTTTTACTATTACAATGCAAAAATACCAGAGAAGTATTTACCTTTAAACTTACTGTGGCAAGATGTTCTGACAGTCTGATTTTCAACTTTATATATGGAAAAATATCAAAAAATTTTTAGTGAAACTTTAATTAGCTCCAATTCAAAAAAACAGACTATTGGAACTGATGAAAATTGGTTATACAAAAAAGGATCCATTAGAAGAGGAAGGAGTTGCGTACAGATTGCAATGCATATATGCAGAGTCCCAAATTTTTACGCTATAGAGACAAAATGAAAGTTGAAACCTCCATCCAGGAGATTGAAAGAGGAATTGTTGGATTAGATCCGATAGAGAAGGATTATGTATATTGGAAAACTGTTTTAAAAAATCAAGAAAAGTGGAAAAAGGAGGAAGTAGGAACAATGGCATTATATATACTAAGTGTTGGCTGAAAGCAAACAATTTAATTGTGGCAAGAGAGGATAAAAGTAAACAAATGGTTATAATGAAAAAAACAAACTTATGATAAAGCCTTAGAAGAGTACATCAGAAAGACAGAATGTATTAAGACCAGCAATAAAATTGTTGAATCTGTTGATAGAAGAGTCAAGAAACTGAAGGGAACCAAGCTTGCAAAGGTTTTACCTTTTATCCAGAAATGCTGTAACCCCAGGTTTGGGATCCCTAGACTATTTGCCTTCACTAAAATGCATAAAGAGGGCAAGGAAGTAATGCTAATAGTGGAAAAATGTAAAGCATTTACATTTTTCTTAGAAGAAAGATTGCATAGATATATCTCCTCCCTACTGGAAAGTAGTATATTGGTTGCAAAGGATCCTGCAATGGTGGTTAAAGAGCTGCAAGGCATTACTTTGATGGATGAGGAAGTTTGAACAATATTAGATTATGAGAGCTTGTACCCCTTCATTAAAATTGAATCTTGTTTGGAAACACTATTGGAGTTCTTGTTTAGAGAAAACCCAACATTGGCGCATCACAAAAATGATGTTATAGAGATGGCTAACCTTGTATGTTGTGAATCCTTTTTCGCTTTCGAAGGCCAAACTTATAAACAAAACAGGGGAGTTCCAATGGAAAGCCCAGTCTTGGGGCTTCTATGTGAGCTTGTGATTAGAAAAGTTGAAGAAAGTGTTGTGTAGCTTCAGAAATAACATTGTTTACTGCAAGTGATATGTAGATGATATCTTTATAACATGGAGAAGCAATCAAGAAATTAGTAATTTCATAGAAAGAACCAATGAGAACAAAGATGGCCTCAACCTGAAGCTAGAGCAGAAAAGTTCCATAATGATACATTTCTTAGATATTAACATCGTCTTTAGGAAAGGGCATGTATCCACTAGTGTGTTCACAAAACCAACACCAACACATAGCCCACTCTATATCCTAGCAAGGTCCTATGATCCATATCGTTATAAACTAGCAGCCTTTCGTACCGTGGTTAGAAGGGCGTTTCTATACTGTGATAACATTATTGACTGAGTTAAAGAGATCGAAAGGATTATGCAGACAGCAGAAACCTTAGGTTATAAGAGAAGCATAATTGCTGGTATTGTTAGAAAATTTGAGGCGAGCAATAAAAAAAAGTCTCCAGACAGAGTCCTATTAAGTACACAAAGTTTACATTCAGGAAATATTTAGGAGGCGTCATGAAGGATATTGCAGGCTTTAAAAATTCTATGTCGGTATTGAAAAGAG